AGCCTAATTGTCTTTTGAGAGATGGTTGGTGGTGTCATGTAGATGTGCAGTAAGGTTTCGGAATTTTCATTTTCACGATGGGGTCAAATAGGGGTTGAAAAATAACGTTTTTTATGCAAAAAGCGCCTGGTTCCCTGAACTCCTCTTACATTTTACACAGTAGCCTAATCATCTTTTGGGAGATGGTTGGTGGTGTCCTATAGATGTGCAGTAAGGTTTCGGAATTCTTATTTTCCCCCTGGGGGTCAAATGGGGGTCATTTTTTTTTTAAAAAATATTTAACATGTTTAAACATCCTGGTTCCCAGAACTTCCCTTATATTTTATGCACTAGCCTTAAATCATGATCATTTGGAAGATGATTGATTTTGTCCTGTGGATGTGTAAAATGGTTTTAAAATTTGCATTTCCATGTGGATAGCAAATAGGGGCAGGAAAAAAATGGCCCCTCCCTAACCCATGGGGTCATGATTTGTACAAACTTGAATCTACACTTCTTGGGAATGTTTCCATATTAATCATGCTTTTGTTGTTCTTAAAAAGAAGAATTTTGAAGATATTTTTTCCTTTTAAATCTCTATAAAACTTTGATCCCTTATTGTGGCCTGACCTTATCCTCGGAGGTCATGATTTGAAAACTAGAAATATGTCCATAGGACATAAATGCCCCGCCGAATGTATATTACTAATGCAACATGAAAATTTGTATGAGTGTATGAAGTTTGATGAGAATATCTTGAACAGTTTCTTTAAAATTGAAACTAAAATCTTAAAAAAATGGATATAGATGATAAATTCTCACCAAATTATCTATAAGTGCATGCTTACATAAAAATATCTTAGATTGTTTCTTTAAAACTAAGCAAAATACAAATTAAAGAGAAAGGAGGTCAAGGTCACAGGAAAGTGCAAGGTGAAAAGTTTTTGATGCAGTGGAAGAGCTCTCACTAATACATATCAGCATATTAGGTTTGATAAAAATATCTTGAATGATTTATTTAAAACTGAGCTTTTTTGAGAAAAGAGAGGTCAAGGTCAACAGAAAGGTTGAGGTCAAAATGTTGATGCAGTTGAAACACTTATATCAGTATGTATTTACTATTAGCATAGAAGTTCAACAAAAATATCAGAAATGGTTTATTTAAAATGTAGATAAACACTAATTTAAAAAAGTGAGGTCAAGGTCAAAGGAAAAGTCAAGGTCAAAAAAGTTGATGCAATTGATATCTCTCAGCAGTATATATCAGCATATAAAGTTTGATAAATATATCTTGAATTGTTTATTCAAAACTGATTTAGACACTAATTTAAGAAAAGAAAGGTCAAGGTTAAAGGAAAATTCAAGGTCAAAAATTTTGATGCAGTTGAAAAGCTTACATCAGTATGTATCAGCATATTACGTTTTATTGAAGTCGGACATGACAAACACTATATGCCTCGGCCATATTCATGGCAGGGCATAAAAAAACTTGAATCTACACTATATGAGGATGTTTCCATATCAAAATGACTAACAAGCAAATTCAAAGAATTTTGGTCCCCTGCTTTCCGTGTCCTAGTGGATGGGATGCCATTACTTATGACATATTGTTTCAAATATGCACGCCCTATCATATGTCATTCAAAGTAATCACCAAAGTTAAAATTTTTGAAAATTAGGTAAAACATCAAGGTCAAGGGGTAAAAAAATCATAGCATGCTTGGAAACATCTTGTTACAGGTAATGTACCTGTCAAATATAAAAGTCCTATCTCTTCTCAGTCAAAAGTTATAAGGAAATATAACATTTTTGAAAAGTAGGTTAAACTTCAAGGTCAATGTCAAAAGTCATGATATATTTAGAAAGGTCTTATCACAGGTAATATACATGCATAATATGAACGCCCTATCTTTTCTCTTTCAAAATGATCATTTAAAATAATGTTAAATTTTTTGAAAAGTAGGTCAAACTTCAAGGTCAAGGTCATGGGTTAAAAAATCATGGTATGTTTAGAAAGTTCTTGTAAGTAATGTACATGTGAAATATGAAAGCCCTATCTCTTATTATTCAGAAGTTATGACCAAGGTTAAATTTATTGTGACAGACGGACAGACTGACAAATGGACAGACTGACAGACAAATGAGATTTAATGTCCCCTAGGTCCCTTTTGCGAAAACGGACGACAATAATGCCCTTGCTGTTCATGAGAAGAAGATTTATGATGGAAAAAATCCCCTGCATTTTTCTATGTAAATCATTGGATCCCCATATGTGGCCCCACCCTACCCCAGTGGGTCATAATTTTAACAAATTTGAATCTACACTAAGTCTATGTAAAGAAAGGTTCAACTTTTTGGGCTCAGTCAGTGGTTCTTGATAAGACTTTTTTAAAATGATACCACCAAATTTTCACTAATTCTTGATTATCCCCCCTTGAAAGAGGGTGTGACCCTTCACTTGAACAAACTTGAATCCCCTTTACCCGAAGATGCTTTGTGGCAGGGTTGAACGAAATTGGCCCAGCGGTTCTAGTGAAGAAGACAAAAATGTGAAAAGTTTACAGGCGGACAGATGGATGACAAACAAAATGTGATCAGAAAACCAGAAAAACTCAAGTGAGCTAAAAACTGATGATCACAAGTACTTGGAAAGAGTTACAGTATTTGAAAAGCAGTTTTTTTTTTCATGCATTGTTTTCAGAATCTGAAAAGGTATGACTTGTACCCATGTTGAAAAAACTTCACATTTCAGAAAACAGTATGATTAAAAATAGTTAATCAAGGTGCTTTGAGTAGCAAAATAAGCTAAACTGGTGTAGCTAATTCAACCACAGAGCTTAGTGAATTTTAAAATGCACAACCTTTTCAACTCTTAATCATTTTTAAAATATTTATATCATCATTTCTGATTCAAGGGAGAACTAGAGATATGATCAGAAGTATATCTGTTGACTAATAAACATGTACATGTATATTGTGTTTTTTAAGTCATTAATGTTTGTTTGTTGTTAAATGTCCCTCTTGGGAATTTTTCACTCATACGGAGACACCACCACTTAAAAATAATGAAGACGTACAAGTCGGATTTGAAGTTAACATTCATTTTAGGAGTTTTCAACAATTAAGATGTAAAGAGATAACTCCTTCCCCTTGCCCCTTCCCCTTCCCCCGACCCCTCTTTGTTCATGTATGCAAATTAGTCTAATACTTTGGTTTGACATAAAAATAAATGTGAATATATACAAATAGTTTAATGGTCCATCTCTTTGAATGATTTTCATTCCTAATTCTAGGAGGGTACATGGGTTGACCCAAATTCATGAATGAAATGTCAAGTAATCTTATCATTGATGCACTTTTATTTAATTTGATGTAGTCATATTATGAACATTTCCAGTTCATTAAGAGAGTGGGGATGACCTCCAGGGGTTCATAACCTTAAACCATTAGATGTACATAACATAATAACACAAGAAACAAAATTATGTATAGTCAAACGGAAAAGTTTTCTACTATTTAGGAGTCACATGATCATTTGTCATTTCAGGGACAGGGAGCGGCTAGGGAGATTGGACCCCCCCCCCCCCCTGGAATTTGCAGAGTTATTTAAATAGGACTATATACTGATTTACAGAAGCAAATAAAAAATGACTTTAAATGCCCTCCCCCTTTAAAAACATGGACCCCACCTGGCACCATCATTGTTTTTATTTTGTTTGTTCGTTTGTTTTTTGTTTTTTTTTTGCTCCTCAGGAAATTCTGGGCTGGAATTTTTTTTGACTGAGGTGTGGACATCCCCCCCCCCTCCCCCCGGAAAAAAATTCCCGGATCTGTGCCTGTAACTGAATGTAATGTCGAGAACGGGAGATAACTCTTCAGAATGTGAAATTCGTCTATTGTGGCATCCGATGATCCACTCTCTACCATCGGCTCATACATTCAGTGTCTGAGAGAGAAACGAACGACAACTCTGCATAGGAGATTGCCGATGATTTTTGATCCTTTTTAAACTTTAACCTAACCATTTGCATTTCGGTTTATTTTACCCCCATCTATACTTAAACTTGTACTTACCGACTGTCATAGGTCCTGTCAACTTCATGAAATATAATCCAATTAAAACACAAAATGAATTAATTTCCACTGATATACATGTAACACTGCACCACACCATGTCACATGGCATGTGCAATCAAAAATGATAATGGTAAAACTAGTAATAGTACTGGTAGGGTGACGCAAGCCCAATGTGATGTAGAAATTTTGAAAAAGGTGTTCACATACATGTACAGTACAAGAACAAATTTTAAATTATCATAACAAACGATGTTTTAACATAACTTTGCCATCTAGGCCTATTTCCAAAAACAGGCAAATTGTGTGTGTGTTGGGGGGGGGGGGGGTGAAAAATTGATTGGGTATGGCTTTTCAAGGAGGTTTTTGCCTAATCAAATACTAAAAAAAGTTTGCACATTTTGATAAATTCATCAAAAACGCTTTGTACTAAAATAATATTATTTGTTGTTGAGAAAATAAATTTGAAAAGTTCCAATTATGGGCCAAAAATTTATATCTCCCCCCCCCCTTTATCAAAACCTAATTTACATCATTAATTAAATTCTGTTATTTCAGACTGGTAATGAATTAAGTATATGAAATGCGTATAAGAGGTTCATGGGTCACATGGTCACCTGAGCATTTTATGCTCGATTTGACGAATACATGTACTGTGTAAATTATAGAATTGTTTGGACTTTTTCCTTGGTAAGCCCAATATGAAGGAGTGTGCATTTAGAGGCAAACACCTTAGTGCGGGTATTACTGTCTCATGACAGCATCTAATTTCTTTTATTTTTCTCATGCAGAAATTGTAATTAAAATTAAGTGAAGATATTGACTTTGATCATTTTCCTTTAAGTATATTGTCCCTTGTTCGTTGCTACCGCTCGTCAGCTTATCAAGGTAAGCGTTTTACGGTTGTATTCACCTGTAAATATAGGTGTATTAACCTGCCCGGGAGGATGGCTAAGCTACGGATTCAGTTGTTACCTGTTTGTTACACATACAAGGTCCGATTGGAGCGGGGCAAGAGTAAGTAGTTAGTTAGTTTTAATTAGGCATTTTAGAGATTAAAAATTGACACCAATCAGGAAAGGAGAAATGATTGGAAATATTTCATACTCATAAACAGTGCAATAAAAACTTTTTTTTGGAAATCAGATGATTTAAAAATTACAGAGACCGATTGATTGATTGTATATTGTTTTTCGTCCCATTTGAGAATTTTTCAATCATATCGAGACGTCACCATATACCGGTTAAAGGCTTCAAATTTAGACCTTTACTCGGCACTTAAGGCCATTGAGCAGTGAGGGATCATTATCGTGTCAACGCCTGCCGTGACAAGGGACCTCGGTTTTTAAGGTCTCTTCCGAAGGACCCGCAACTTAAAAGTGCCGAGCGCATGGCGAAGGAAGAGTTGCTATCTATTTTTATTCGACTTAGGTCAGTCGCTGCCGAGATTCGAACTCACGACCTTCCGATCAAAAAATACATAGAAGTACACGCTCTATATCATTGTTGAAACTGATGGTGCAATTATTTTCAGGAAATTTGTAGGGAAAACTTATGTGTTGCCAGATTCTTAGCGCCTGATCGGCTAAGGATTACATATTTATGAAATAACTTTACCGGTACCTGTGTTTTTCACAAGGCATAGCAACATTGATTTTTTTTTTTCACTTTTGCAATTATTTAAAACATTTTACGTCCAACCGTCGTGTACTCTCCATGTTAGCTGACATCAAGAAATTAATATTATTAAAGGAACAATTCTGAAGAGAACTTAATCTATTTTTTTTTAATTCTGAGTTTCTTAATTCTAAAAAAAGTTTATGAGCAGTTGTCCTTAATTTATAAGATGCTTCCAAATAATTCAGATTTAACAAAATAAAATTTACCTGTTGCAGCAATACTGCCTCTCCCACAATTCCGCACTAACAGAGATTGGCAACGCAGCAGAAGACCGTTTTTTGAATCAACATGTTCATTACTATGGACACGATAGTAAGATACATGAATGTATTTAATGTATAGCACTGTGATTAAAATGTACTCGTTTAAGTTGTGGGTAGCTCTAGATCCTCAAATTTGCAATTATCGTAAAATAATTTATTATAAGAAATTATTATGTACATGTATTTGAAATGATGAACCTCGTCTCAGCGTCAGCATTTTAAGGGGTATTATTTGTTCTTCTTACAATTTGTATTTTTTACTCGATTTATTAGATCGATAACTGCTAAATATCGTCATATTTTTTTACTTTATTATCATTAAATATTGAGGACTTACATGTTGTTTATGAAAATATTCTATATTGATATTATAATAATAATGTTTAAAAAAAAATCGGTACTAGCTTGAAATTTATTTTAAAATTAAGGATTATATCCCTCGTAGATAGCTCTGATCCTTTGACATATTTGGCTCCCCATTTTTTTTTTAGCTCTTTAAATTTTATATTATTTATTTTTTTCGGAATTCAGAGGTTTCGGCATTAGCATTACTGAAGAGATATAATTTGCTGAAATGCGTATCTTGTGCATCAAAATTGGTACTGAATATGTAAGATTTACATTATGACCCCTGAGTCGAGGCCTCTGCTGGTGGACTGTTAGTCCCCGAGGGTCTTTTCAGCCCAGTGGCTACCTACTTCGGTACTAGCTTGAAAATGCGGATATATATGTTATTGCTGTGGTAAAATTGAGAAATTTATTTCACAATTAAGGATTATCTCTGATCCTTCAACGTATTTGGCTCTAGTCTTTGGCACCCCATTTATTAGCTTTTCAAAGTTTTTTCATTCAAATTTTTCGGATTTCGAAGTTTCGGCATTAGCATCACTGAAGAGACATGATTTGTTGAAATGCACATCTGGTGCAATAAAATTGGTACCGTATATGATTTACCATAGTGAGTTCAAAAATATTTGACACTTAAAACAGCATATTGTCATGCAGCATTTATTTTATTGAGTCACTGGCCTAAGAGTTAAAAAAAAAAAAAGAATAATCAACGCAGAGTAGTCAACATGACATCCTTTTTCAGAATATGATTTTTTAAATTCAAATACATACTTTTAAATAGATCTGCTATTCTTATCAAATTTTCCATCTTTGAGTACAAATGAATTGCTTTATAATTTTATTCAGTGTCTTGGAAAAAATAAATGTTAAAACATTGCGCTTACAGGAGATTTCTGGATTGGCGGCAGGAAATTAAGGGGTACTTGGATGTGGGATTCTTCACATACCTCTCTACAATACTATACTAACTGGGGAAGTGGGGAGCCGAACGACAGATACAGTGAAGAAAGTTGTATTGAAATGTATCACCATGACAATTACCAATGGAATGACGAAGCGTGCTACGAACATAACTATTTCATCTGTGAGCAACCGTAGGTGTAACATATCAATGTCCATTTTTTATTCTCCCTGTATGAAACGGTCGAAAATAAATTATTGGTTATAAATACTTTTTTCTATTGGATATTCCTGTATTATTGTTTTTACGTTAACCTAGAAACAATTGTCAAAAAATAGTAACTTAAAATATCGACAAATTATGATATTCGCTTGTTAGCAGAGAAGTATTTTCAAAAGCAATCAATAAAAAATTCACTTATAAATGTGATGTTTTATTTATATATATTTGAGCTGCATTTATTGATGGTTCCTTGATTTTGTAACTGACATTCTTAAGTTTTGACTTTTTTTCAAGACTCATTACAGAGTAACAGAGCCCAATTGGAAAAGGAAATTTTAACCATTGAACATTCCTCGAATTCTATGATTCAATCTAAGCAATATTTTTATCTTCGGTTTTCATTTCAGAATACCTTTTATTTTGTTTGTCTTTGAAAACGATTCAGTCTCATAGGAATTGTAAACTGTAGAATTTCACAAACCAGAGCGCAATCATGTATCAATAACCGTGTTGGCAAATACAATCTGTCCGTAGGTCGAATGTTGACTTACTTTTAATTAAAATAGAAAGTTCCTTATTTTTATACCGAATTGGTCATTTATCTAGTAACAAGAACAAGGGAATCCCCGTGGGTATAAAATTAAAGATAAATTTGATGGATAATGTGTTGGTAATGCTTGATTTCAGATACATTCACGGGCCTTATGTACCAGTAGTACCGACCACAACAAAATTATGGTTCACCTGGCAGATCGTTACTGATAAGCCTTATGTACCACCAACTACTGCAACAACCACAAGCACCACAACTTCTACTACCACCACGACCACGCCCGTCCCACCAACCACAAAACACCTACAGATGGTCACACTGCCACACAGCCCACAAAACTCTCAGCATACGAGTTGTCAAAGCGATTGGATAAGGTTCGATACCAGCTGCTATCTTTTCGCAAAAGACATCACATACGACTGGGTTGAATCGGGGGTAAATATTTTTTTCCAGGAATTACTCATTCAAAGAGTCGTTGTTTTGCAACCAATATGGCCCAAGATTATTGTATGTCTTTTAATTCTCTCAAATAACATCGATTTTCAGCACTTTTGTTCACTCTTTGGCGCATCTTTGGCATCTATAGAAACGGAAATGGAAAATAATTTTATAAGACAACATTTGCTTAACATTGGAAGACCTGGTAAGTGATAAAGGCTTTAAAGACTACAAAAGTTATCTTTCTGCAATACGTATATTGGTCCCGGAAATTATTGAGCATTTTTTCGTGAAAATTGAGTAAAGTATTTACACTTTGAAAAAAAGTTTTGTTTTTCAAATAACAAAATTTGCTACTTTCTTATTTTCTATCCAGTTTTCATGAATAATTTACCATTTTCTTTGTAGACTTCTGGTCAATTGCTTATGTAAAAAAAAGTGCCTTTGGAAAAAATAAAGCCTATGGTATATATCTATTATAAAAAAAAACTGCGATACTTCTGAAACACTGAGTATTCCACTATCTACTTCTGATTCACGTGGGACAAAATATTGGAAATTTAGGAATTCGGCAAAGGGAAAGAACTGGTAGGGCTAGGAATGAAACCCTATTTTTCTACATTTAGTGTTACTTTCACTAGCAAATATCCAAGCCTTCTTTGATATGTGATGTTTCTTAACTAGGTCTATAAATCCCCTCTCTTAACTGAATTCCATTTTTTTTTTACATTTTGCACCACACAGTACCAGTTGATAGGGAAATACTTGATTTTTGAAAATTAATACCAGATTTAACAACCTTATACATAGCTAAAATAAGGGGGGGGGGGGTATTTTCAATAGCAGCAATTTTGAACATCAGCAGACAAGGAAGTAAATAAATTAAATGGGAGGTTATTCATAAAAACAGAATGTATTATTAGAAAGTAGGAGATATTGTTATTAAGTAGAATAGTTATGTTAAATTATTTATATGTTATTAATCCACAATTTTAGATAAATATGTCATTAAAAAATCTCAATATTTCCTGGGAAAACTTGAACTCATATTTACAGAAACCTAATGCGTATTCTGATTCTGCTTGTTTTTTTAACCTTAGTTGACTTTTGGGTTGGTGGAACAGACATTGTTACAGAGGGCGATTGGAAATGGATTACGTCACAAAAGCCAGTGATGTATTCGGATTGGTATCCTGGAAAGCCTAGCGATTTTCATCACAATGTAAACTGTCTTGAACTGCTTCATAATTACCAGTATCACTGGAATGATCAAGACTGTCATGTTGTTAACCACTTTATCTGCGAAATGCCGTAAGTTTTATCTTCTATGTTAGATTTTTAAAAGTTTTTTTTTTAAATTCATACTTTATTTTATATATAAAAAAAAAACTGTTTAAAATTTTCAACCTTCCATTCAAAGCAATACCAAAACATATAAAATATAGTCTTCGTGATTCACGCTCTAATTTTTATTTAAGTATTTATGATAAGTACTTCTTATCAATGTGATCTAAACTTTATCTTTTTAAGATGAATCATAATTGGTATCAATATCATCCGATAGGATTGATATGGCATATAACAATCATTTTCTATGTCAAGAACCTTCTGTAAATCAATATTTTTTTACATTGAAAAAAAAAATAGTTTTCAGATGGTTGTACTGAGCTTGGATTTATACATTTTATTGTCAAAAAAAGACCAAACATTTACCTCGAAGAAAATTTGAGTCCACAAAGAACTGAAGTTAAAGACTTTCTGTTGCTTTCTTAAATAGGGAGAAGGAACTAAAAAAAGTTTTCAAATATTTTTTTCTTATCCTGACTAAATGCTAAATTGATTATAAAGTATGGAGTACAGATCTCTGTAACTGTATTATTTTATTTTCATAGAAGTAGAACTATTTAGTGTGCAGTTTATAACTAATTTGAAAAATTTTTGAAGACACACTGAGAATATTTTTTGAAAAGTTTTTATAATTTTTTTACTTTTCCTTGTGCATTTTTTTTTATTTTCAGGAATGGTTCAAACCCGAGTCAAATTTTCGGATAATCTGAAAAATCATTCCACTGAAAATTTGTATATAATGTGCCTCTCTTAAAAAAAAAAATAAAAATGTTTGAACGTATTGGATGCCTGAATAATTTCTAATAGTTTAATTAAGAAACAGAGTAAGCGCAACATGGAATTGGAACAAATACATTTGGATTTTAAAACCAAGATTACAAGTGTTAGGAAAATAATTGTGAGAACTACATTTTGATGAACTTCATCTTTCTTATTTGAGTTGCCATCTAAGGATAATTAGGGTCTTTCGTCTCCAACGGAAGACCCTTCTATTATTCTATTGTTTCTTTTTCACTTTTATTATTAGGGTCTTTCGTCTCCAACGGAAGACCCTTCTATTATTCTATTGTTTCTTTTTCACTTTTATTAGGGTCTTCCGTCTTCAGCGGAAGACCCTTCTATTATTCTTCGGTTTCTTTTTTACCTTTATTATTATTAGGGTCTTCCGTCTTCAGCGGAAGACCCTTCTATTATTCTATTGTTTCTTTTTCACTTTTCTTATTATTATTCTTCCTTTTTTTTAGGGTCTTCCGTCTCCAACGGAAGACCCTTCTATTATTCTATTGTTTCTTTTTCACTTTTATTATTATTAGGGTCTTCCGTCTCCAACGGAAGACCCTTCTATTATTCTATTGTTTCTTTTTCACTTTTATTAGGGTCTTCCGTCTCCAACGGAAGACCCTTCTATTATTCTATTGTTTCTTTTTCACTTTTATTATTAGGGTCTTCCGTCTTCAGCGGAAGACCCTTCTATTATTCTTCGGTTTCTTTTTTACCTTTATTATTATTAGGGTCTTCCGTCTTCAGCGGAAGACCCTTCTATTATTCTTATGTTTCTTTTTCACTTTTATTATTATTCTTCTTTTTTTTCTCCTTACCGATTTTGTGCAGAAGATTTCTCGGAGATGAATTGATCGATTTACTTCAAATTTTCAGAGTTTATGTCTTATCATCTGAAGTTTGTACCGGCGTTTCAAAATTTGAAAAATCACTTCCGGTCGGAAGTTATCGCCCTTTTATTAAAATTCAGAGGACCTCCTTGTCTGTGATGGAACTCAAAGACGGCTTAAGCTAGAGCGCTGAAATTTTCAGTGATGATAGAGGACATGTTGCCATTATGCACCTGGGTTTAGATATTTTCCGGAAGTGCCTAGTATGGAAGCTCGGTAGGGGTCGAAATTTAGGACACGAATCATGAATGAATTTTTGAGACATTTTGTATCATATCTTTTAAAGTATAATTATTTTGTTAAAACATACTGAATAATATTTGTGCAGAATGACAAGATCTTTATCATGATATCAAGAAAAAGGGGCTGACTTGTCATATAAGGGGCCAAGAGGGGCCAAAAGTATTAAATCAATAACTCTTTAACGATCAATATTTTGTAATGCATTACTGCAGCAAAAATGTTTATTTCAACAATTTACAACTATATATTACAATATTCACATCATATGCCATAAGGGGCCAGAATGCTAAATCTTTGACGCTTTATATCTCAAAAGTGGGAAATATTTTGATCAGCAATATTGAACAAAAGATGTTCAAAATAATGTTCTAAACAATATGCAACCTTTCATTTTTTGCTAAACGTCCCCATTAAGGAGTTGAAGGGCCGGCCCCTAAATATTTCTTTTGAAAATATCTCAGAAACGAAAAAGAATTTCTGACTAGTTGTTGAACAAAAAGTGTTTAAAATCATGAGAGCTTTAAAGTGATATGAAGAAAAAGGGGCTGGCCCCTCATAATAGGGGTTGAAAGGGGCCGAAAGTCTTTGAAAAATAACTCTTTAACAATCAATATTTTGTAATGCATTACTGAAGCAAAATTGTTTATTTCAACAATTTACAACTATATATTATGATATTCTCATCATATATTACATAATTAGGGGCCATAAGGGGCCAGAATGCTAAATCTTTGACGCTTTATATCTCAAAAGTGGGAAATATTTTGATCAGCAATATT